AGGGTTAGGGGGACTTCGTAAGTAGGTTAATACTAGGGATAAATGGGGCTACTCTATGACCTATAGGGGTTATAAGCATACTTACTAGGTCCACCCTTCCAAGTATGAATCGAAGATGCCAGGGGCCAATGGTACATGGAAGATTTGCTAGATGGGACTGTCATTTTGGGAAGGAAAGCTCCAAGTCCTGGACCATACACTCCCGGAAACTAACATGGAAACCCAAAAAGGGCCCTATGAAGACTACAGTCCTTCTAAGATGGTACTATATGGGTTTCCATGTTAGTTTGGGGGGAGTGTATCAAGACGGAGCGACGGTGTGGGCACATGAAAAATCCTTGTAGATACCAGTGTCCATTTCATTTTCTGCGCTGCTTTCCATTTGATTCTCCAATATGGGTAAGCCTAAGCCCTAATTAACGCAGCAGTTTCCATCTCTCTCTGGAATTTCCTTGTGATCCCCATGAACTGTAACTGTAGTCTAAACTCCTTAAATGGGTGTTATATGGGGGATTACACAAGGGAGTTTAGACTATAGTTCATATAACCGCATAGTAGTCTCCAAGCCATCGTTCTTGTGTCCTGGCATATGCTGACAATACCATCTCAGACCATTTTCTAGCCAAACCCTAAACCCTGAGCCCTAAACCGTAAGCCCTAAACCCTAAACCCTAAATGCAAAAAACACTAAACCCTACTGCTCCTAGGCTCATCTCTAAGTTGCGGAAAACAACTCTACATGTCAAAGCGCCATGGGACCCTAAAACTTAAACCCTAAACCCTATGTGTATATATATATACATGTGTACATACATATATATATATACATATATGTTTCCCTTTTTCGCGCATCTCAAACTGCAAAAAAAACACAAGCCCTGCCTAGGTAAGTACCGAGGCGGGACCCGGGTGGTGGCTGGGCTTTGTGTCCCACACTCACCAGGTTTTAGGGTTTGGGGTTTAGGGTGTAGGGTTTGGGGTTAAAGGTTTAGGGTTTAAGGTTTAGTTAGGGTTTCATGGGTTTCGGGTTTAGTTTTTAGTGTATTTTCCCAACGCACCATAAACAGACGCATGTGTAGCTGTCTCATTGTTTGGGCGTTTTTACGCTTTTGCTGCGATATGAGTTGGCTCGAGATAGGTCTGCGGGTTGAGGGGGTGGGGCGTTGGGTGTAGGCCTGGGGGTTTTAGGGGATTGAAATTTGGCGATACAGAAAATGGGATCCCGTAAGCACTTCGTTACGGCTCCCATATCACAGCAGTGGTTTTGATTTGTCAGCCAGCAAGCAGTTCAGCCTCAACCCCATACTCCAAAACATACCAAACCATGGAACCTGGTTTAAGGATATTCAGGGTTTGGGGTACCAGTGATGTGACAGCTAGTCTCTGTAGTAGCTGAGGGAGCCCTTCACAACAAGAGGATTTTGGCTACCCAACCCCCTTTTGAACCCTAGAACTCTCATATGACAAGAAGAGGGTCGATGTTTCGAGAGTCTAGGTTACCAACATTCTCATTGAAGATGTCATGCTTGGGACTCCACAGGCCCCCGCCGGGCTTTGACCAAACATCCCTTAGACTAGCCCTAGACCACTGACTATGACTTGCACGAGCTTGGTATGCTGCCTGCGCGGCTTCAGACTAATAGAGGGAAGTGCAGTGTTCAGAGTTGAGTGAAAAAACCGTCGGGGGCATTGCTACTGTCAGACGACTGCTTGTGTTGATATTACGGTCGCTGTTTGAAACTACTAGTTTTGCTGCTCGTTGCTGCTGCTACCACTGCTACAACTGCTACTGCTGACTGCTGCACTTCTGCCACTACTACTACTGTTGCTGCTACTCCTACTACTATCACTCCTCCTCCTACTGCTATCTCTGCTGCTATCCCTGCTCCTACCACTGCTCTTACCCCGGCTCCTACCGCTACTCCTACCCTTACTCCCTGTCCCTTACCCCTTATCCGTTGCCCCTTACCCCTACCCCCATCCCTACCCCAACCCCTATACCCCTACCCACACCCCCACCACCACGATGACTGCTACTGCTGCTACACTGCCACTCCGCCAACTCCTTCTCATCCTCCTCCTTTCCTTCTAGAGGTCAGAGTGATAAAGTCTTGAGTCTTGTAGGTGCAGCTGCTGCAGAATGTGGCGATTAAGGCCGGAGTAAAAAAGAGACATGCATCAACATTTGGGTATCTGAAAATGTATGAAAATGGGGAGGGGGGGGGCGGGGGGTCTCAACCGAGTTGCAGGGGACATAGAGGGATCGACGCACAGGGCTATGTACGTAGGGACGTGCAGGGTTTGGGTTTGGGGGGTTTCAACAATTAGGGGCTCTTTTGGGGAGGCCTTAGTCTGACAAGGCTCTTGTATATTTGGGTCTAGATTCCCGTTTTTTGGAAATTAGCGTGCCAATATTCAAGATGATGAATATACGTTTTTATGATAGCAGGAACGGGCAAACAACAATAGCTGCACTCTCCTTAGTCATGGAACGATATCAGTGCAGTATGCTTTGTCGGCAGGCCTCACCTACCCAAAGGGTCCATGTAGGTGTATGGTATAATTTTAGGGCCCAAAGATTTTCCCATATCTGCTTCAGGGGCCAAGTATACTCTAAGCCCTAGACCCTAAGCTCTGAACCCTAGACGCTAAGCCGTATACTATACTGTACTACACTGTATAGCTACATGGACCCTTTGGGATAGGAGGTCCTACAAAGGGCGCCGCGGGCTAATCAGGTTTCCCCGCGCAGTTGTTGCTTCTGCGCTAGGGACAGGCTAAAGTTAAAGCACTCTCGAGTTTAGGTCTTAGGGTTTTCGGGTTTAGAGCTTGGCAGGTCCGCCTGAGCACGTGAGAGATAGACAAATAGAGAGAGAGAGAGAGAGAGAGAGACAGAGAGAGAGAGAGAGGGTTTAGGGCTTAGGCTTTAGAGTTTTAGGGTTTAGGTTTTCGGACCGAGGGGTTTAGGGCTTAGGGTTTTAGGCTTTGGGGCTTGCCAGTCCTGTCGGATCATGACTGTGACTGCTGCTTCTTCTGAGTTTGTCTTTCTTCGGGGAATGTCCAGACATGGACGAAAAAGGGTACTTGGAGGGTCAAGGAGACTAAGTAAGTATGTTAAAACCCTTATAACCCAATATAGTAACCCTAGTTATCCCCATTATTAACCCATTTACTAAGTCCCCCTGACCCTCCAAGCATGCTCAAAGCACATGGGCTTCTAACACAGGACCCCAGCTGACCTCACAGCAGACGACTCCCAAGTTAGATCCCGGTTACCACCATCCTGGGTTGTATACTGGGCTGATGTTCTTGAGCGTGAAGAATGCAATTTTAGGGAAACCCTATTATGTACTCTAGGTCTGCAGGTAGTCCCCATACCCAGAGTCGTGTCCAGACAGTTAGTCTCCATAAACCCAAACCCGAAATCCTAAACCCTAAACCGTATAGGAGCCTCCCTGAAAAGCCAAACCCAAAGCCCTAAACCCTAACGCCATAAAGAACCCTAAAACCTTCATCCCTAAACCCTAAATAACCCTAATCCCCAAATACTAAACCCTGTATAACCCCCGTGTATAATCAGCTGGTGAGAGGCCGCGTTGGGGTCCCTGGCTTTCCTCCCTGCCTGCCTCATCTTCAGGCAGCAGAGGGGTTCTGGGTTCAAGGTTTAGGTTTTGGGGTTTCTGGGCATGATTTCAGGGAGCGGTTTTGTTTCGTGTGCAATGTTCAGGGCTATTCCAGCCAAGATTGAACGTGGATGTTTAAAAGCTATGTGTCGTAGTAGTTTCCATGCCCTCCCCTTTAAAATGTATAACCCCACTTAGGCCTTGTTTTTCTCCTATCCTTACGTTACGTTAACAACTGTCGCCTCCCTGTCATGCGAGCACATGTGAGCACCCTTTCAGGGGCAAAGGCGTCCGTTGCCTTTGCGGCGGTGTCGGTCCCGACCCCGGGCGAGAACACACCCAATCCATTTGAGGTCACAGATAAGGGCAGTAATAAGTTACGAGATCTGCCGCTGTTAGCGATTGGTGGCTTGCTAAACTGTTGGGCTTTGGCACCCAGCGCATGTATACATACATAAATATTTACCTATGTACACATATATAGAGTCACATATGTGCATAGACATAGAGGATCCCCCTGAAAATGGCTGGGTGTTCCGACGCAGTGTGGGCATGTCCTCTGAATGGTATCTGCATCTTCAACTTGCTTACCTTGCTTCCAGCAGAAGTGAGCCTGCCTACTACCACTTGATAGATGAGGGGGGTATCCCAAGATTAGGGATACCCTTATGGGTGTCCCTATCATAAGGATGATGGTATTTTTGGGTCTAGAGGGGTTCCCCTAATTTAGGAAACTACCATAATTAAATGTCTGTTTCTGCAGAGGCAACCAGCATTGGCAATGGCATGTTTGGCGGATCTTTGCATACAAGCTCCCCACATGAATGTAGCAGCATTGTCTCTATAGCGAGCACTCTGCCCCAAACCCTAAACCCTAAAGGATTGTGCAGCTTAGCTGAGGCATTGGCTTTGGTGCAGGCGGGAAAGCTATCGGAAATGCTGCTGGGGAGGGTTGCTTGTTCGCAGGTCTGGGTTGGGCGCAAGGCGATATGCACCTCAGGCACCCAAATCTGGCCAGGATCTGAGAACTCAGCACCTGCCTGCCCGCAAACCCTGCATAGTAGTAATAAATAATAGCAACAGTAATAATAATAATAGTGATAGTAATCGTAATAGTAATAGTAGCCCCAAGTGTTCTTCAGGTGCCGATGCCGAGCCTTGACAATGAGCTTCGACGGCTGCAGACCCTGAAGGCACGCACAAAGCCAGTAAGAGCCATAATAGAAATAATAGTAATCATAGAAAATACAAATAGTAGAGATAATAGTAATACTTGTAATTATTATTATTGTTGCTATTATTATTGTTATTACTATTAGAGCCACTGGCTGGCCCAGAAGCTTCTTGCAGGCTTCCGTGGCAGAGCGCCTTGGGATCAGGCACAGGGCTCCCATGCTTCTAAGATTGTTGAGGTGCGTCTTCTCGGCATCCGCAGGCTCTGAGGACTTCTCGCGCAACCACCGGACGCACAGAAGCTGTGAAAAGCCCTAGCAGTGCTCACGCCTTCAAGCCCTGAGCACTGCTCATACTTTACGGTCCAGCTAAGCCAATCGGATCCAGCGAGGAGGCCAAAAAAGGTGCGTGGCTGGTTGGGCAAGCTAAAGCCGTGAGGAGCGTGAATTTGGTGAGAACTCCCCGATCTCCCTACACCCTAAACCCTGTACATCCTATATAATCCCTATATAGTCCCCCTTAAGTAGATAGAATATGGGCTATATGGGGATCTTATTATAAAATACCCAAAGCCATATTCTATCTACTTAAGGGGGACTATATCCCTTTATAACCCCTACGGGCTTCAATGTGCAAACTTCTTCAGCTGTAAGCCGGCTCAAGGGATGCGGTCCCGTCTTGTGCCATGGGCGTAGGCAGCGAGTCGGCTTAGGGTTTAGGGATTAAGGGTTCAGGGTTTAAGGTTAGTTTAGGGATTAAGGGTTCAGGGTTTAAGGTTTGTTTAGGGATTTAGGGTTCAGGGATTTAGGGTTTAGGATTTAGGGTTTGAGTTTTTTTTTTTGCAGTGCTCTGTCAACTTGACGTAGGATGGCCAGCTTGCGTTTCCCAAAGATGTAGCTGTACAGTAGATAAACTTGGGTCCCAAAGTGCTTATATGGAGACCCACTGGGCCCTCAGCGTATACTAAGAAGCCTACATGGAACCTCTGTAACCCTGGGCCCTCTAAGCTTGGGTTTGGCACATGAAAGGCGCCTCGCCGTGATGAGATGGCGGAGGCACTTCTGATTGCTGATGCTGCTGCTACTACTACCAGTACTTATATTACCCCTAAGGATCCAAACAGCCCAATGTAGGTAAACATTACAGACTTTAGGGCCCAATGTAGGTATTATTTATATACTTAGATTTCTGAGAACTTTAATATACCATAGTCCCATTGGTCCCAAGATAAAGGTACCTGGGGTCATGCAGCATTTCTAGTATCCACCGTATGAGTCAGCCGCGACAGTTGGGCGATGTCACCTTCGACCAGAAGAAGCGCTTGGCGCGCCTGGCGAAGCCCTGGGCTTAAGAGGAGTTCTTTCGCGCCCCTGTAGGTTAAGGGTTTACCTGGACCCCAAAAGTAGGGAAAACAATAGCCCAAAACGCCTAAATATAGCCCATAAGGCCACTATTCTACATACTTTTGGGGAGCAGGTAGGGTTTAGGGTTCGGAAAATGGCGGGCAAATTAATGTCCGAATGGCAGTTTCGGGGCACAGAACCGCGGATTCCTGTGGGGGTCGGGGAAGGAAAAAGGAATTTCAGGAGATTGGCGCCATCCTGTTAACGGAGGATATCTTGCGCGATTTGGCCCTTCGAATATTTTGAGTTACTACTACAATACTAGTACTATTACACTTATTACTATTACTAGCAGTACTATTACTACTATTATTGTTACCATTACTATAGTGCCTGAGGTGAAATCTTCCATCAGTGTGGAGTAATAGTCGCCATTTAGCTTCTCATCAATGGTGAGCGCTGACATTGAATCCAGCTTGGATTCTTGAACAATTCCGACACGGCTAAGTCTGTGACAAAATTTGCTCTTGGGTCTAGTATTTGTATCCAACGGGTCCATGTAGATATGGGGGGTTTCCCAAAATTAGGGGTACCCTTTTGGGGATCCCCATAATAAGGCTTATAATATTTTGGGGTCTATATTGGGGTTTCCCCTTTTTGGGGAAACTACCATATATCGTATATAGAGAAGGCCTTTGTGCCCTCAATACGGCTTAGATAGAATCTGGAAATGTCCACAATCATATCAAGATCCCGATATACCCCATGTTCTAGCTACTTAACGGGGACTGTATCCGTACGTAGCGACGACGGGTGTCACCAAAAATGCAGCCAGAGCGCGGGCTCACGCGGATGAGGTTTACTGTTTGGGGTTTAGGGTTATAAGGGAGCAAAGCAGCAATTGATCGGAGCAGTGTAGGCATCACATGATGCACGCCTTTCAAGACCCCAATTCGATGATATTTGCTCAGTTTCCTGCTTGCATAGTTCGTAACGGCCCTATATCGAAATATTTTTCAAAGGGCTCCAAATATGAAATTATGTTTCTGTCATGGTTTGATTTCTTAAGGAACTAGCTGTCTCATGTTGCGAGTTCCCTAAACCCTATAAACCCCATGAAGCCTATGAACCCTATGAACCCTGTAAACTCTGGAAACCCGGTAAACCCTATAAACCCTTCTTTGAGGATGGGTATCGGCCCCGCTGCTTTGGGCACGGCCGCGCCTTCACCAACCCCTTTGCCCGGCCCGGTCTCCGCACCGCCCCCTCGCACGGGGCCCCGAGCACCAGGAGGAGGCGTGCGGGTACCCTTAATGGGGTTTCATAGAGGATGAACAGGATAGTCTAGGGGATCTATAGGGGCTATATAGGGTTTAGGAACTAGGGTTTAGAGAATTAGGGGTTTACCTTTTTTGGAGGGTCGCCAGAATAAGGATTGTAGAGTAGAGTATTAGGGCTTATGTTGGGGTCACCCTATTCAGGGCAAGTGCGCTTTGGGGCTTTGCGCTGAAGAGTTTAGGGCTGAACGGGGAGCGGGGAAGTGACTACAGATCCACTCCACCCCTTCAGGCACCAGAAGGTCCCAAGTGTCATCACAGTGTGTTCCAATGGCTTACAAGCAGATGAAATCCCTCCCCCCATGCTAACCCTCGCACCCCCTGATAACAACTACTCCCAACATAGTACCGTTACAGGAATGGGGGGGAAACTTATGATGAGGGGGAGGGTCATTGTTCGGGGGAGAGGATGACAACAGACGGGACCAAAACATTCACTGGGTTGGCTTTAGGGATATTTCAACAGTTTCCCATGGCTTCATAATAAGGACCCTATATACTCATCTTTTAAACCGTTTCCCTTCATGGTTTCATAAGGACCCTACATATTAAGTTTTTTCAAAAGTTTCCCTCTATGGTTCCACCCGAAACCCTAAACCCTAAGAGTTTTCAAAGGACTCCAGGGGCCAACCAAGTCCATGTCATCAACTCGCAAGGAGACCTACAGTAGCATTATAGTGTTTAGGTTTAGAGTAGCATTCTACTGTTTAGGGTTTAGGGTTGAAGGGGCTTAGAGGTTAGGGAAATAGAGCTGGATAGTAAAGTGTCACGTGCAAGTCCATTTGTTTTACATCTGCGGCGTTGGATACTGCTCCACGCAGTAGCAGTTGGATCATACATATATATATATATGTATATGTGGCAGTGTATACAGAGCCCTTAATATGACCTACATGAAAAATTATAGGCTGTTAATGGGTTTGGGGGCAGGGCCCTAAAGACCCTAAACTCCAAACCTACCATTGCTACTGCTTTCGTTTTAAATTGCTGAGGAGGGCCCAAAGTACTAGGAGATTTGGGCCGTGGCTCTTTCTCTCCCCGCACAGGTGCGCGAGGGGCAAAGGTGGAGGACGTCTTTGAGGCAACCCGAACTCTCGTTCAGGGTGTAGGGTTTTAGGGTTCAAGGTCTTAACCCTAAACCCCTAAATCCCTAAATCCCTAAGCCCCTAAACCCCCAGACCCCTAAGACCCCCCCAAACCCCTAAAACCCTAGACCCCAAACCCCTAAACCCCTAAACCCCAAACCCCTACACACCTTAACCCTAAACCCTCAAACCCCAAACCGTCGACTGCTTCCCTCGCGCAAGGTGGAGGCCCCCGCGCGGCCCCGAGCCAATCGAGCCGGCCTTCAGTCCTTAGGCCTTGGTTTAGGCCTTAAGTAGATAGGGTTTAGGGTTTATGGTCCCCCTTAAGTAGATAGGGTTAGGGTTTAGGGATTAAAGTTTAGGGTTTAGGGATTAGGGTTTAGGGTTTGGGGTTTATAGTCCCCCTTAAGTTAAGTAGATAGAATATGTGGTATATGGGGATCCTATTATAACATACCCAAAGCCATATTCTGTCAACTTAAGGGGAACGTATGGTTTAGGGCTTCGATACTTGGATCTTAGGGTTTGGGGTTTAGGGTCTCGACATTTGTGGCTTAGAGTTTAGAGGTTTAGGGTTGAGATAGGGTTTAAACACTTGACGGTTAGGGATTCAGAGTTGAGGGTTTAGGCTTTTGGGGGTTGGCGTTTAAGATTTGGATGTTGGGGTTTTGGGTTTAGGTTCTCTGGCTTGATGTTGGTTTGGTTGGGGGTAACAGAATACATGAAAGCCCGTTGCTTCGTCAGGCGCTGTGCAGCCCAGAGAGGTGAACGAGGGCTGGCCACGGCCCTGGCGTTTCCTTTCATTTCCCTGCGTGAGCGTGCCGTTCGTTGCTTGGACAGGTACCCTACACCAGCTGTCCGGGCCCTCAGTGCTGTCTGTCTCGACAGCATGTATTCTGTGCCCAAAGCCAGGCTGCTGACCTTGACGAGGATGAGGGCGAGGACGAGGGAGAGGAGCCTTTCGAACCTGTACCGGACCTCTCGCCTGCGTCCCATCCATGGCGCCACAGGGCACGTCCAGCTGAGTAGCTTCTGAGGCGCAAGCGGCAAAGCCAGGTCCCTGCAGGGCGCCCAGCTGCGGCGAAGGCTCCCAACACGCCCATCATCTGTGCAGAGGTGAAAGTGCCCAAAAAGAAAAAGCGGAAAGAAGGGAGGACACATTGGGGTGTCGTCTCCAGACCAAAGGGTCCACGTAGGGCTATAGTTAATATACTATATGACTTAGGGCCCCAAACGGTTCCCACATAACGACCTGGGGGCCCAAATATGTGTAACATATATATATATACATATGTGTTATCTGGCTACATGGGCTGTACTCCCTTTATTACCCCTATAATACTCCCTGTATCATCCGCCCTTTCAGGCCCTCAGACTACAGCTGACATTGACCCTTCGGGAAGTCGACGGGATGAATCCAAGTGAGTAGTATTTCATTTCGGGATACTATAGTCCCCGGTCGAGAGTAAGAATATATCTTGTTTTGGGTATAGTACTGTATATG